GTCTGTAATCACTTTCTTTCTGGAGCAGAACTGGAAAACCTTATTATGTTTTCTGGTAGTGAAGTGGTAACTTTAAATATTTTGTGTTTCTTGTAATATAATTTTTTTCTGTATCACCATGGCAAGACGTTTTATTTGGCCAAATAGAGATTGAACACTTTCCTTAGAACATTTCACTAATGACCAACAGAAAGGATGCCACACAGTGTGTTACACACAGTTACTGATATGAAGTGAGTCACTAGTTATAACTGGCACTGATTAACAGGATCATTAATCCACAACACCAGCACAATGAATGAAAATGATATTCTGGAGACCCTGTGAGAAGGTCTCAAGTTATAGGATAACAATATTATCTTATATTGTTTTTGTCTCATTAGGTTCAAAGCAGTTGCATCAAAAAGTAAACTGGATCTGGTCAATGAAGGTTTCACTGAGTTCACCATTGAAGACTTCCACAACACTGTGAGTATCCTGCACAAGAAAAAGCATGTTTCTAATTGTCCTGCACATAAAGTATGTTGTATATTTGTGTGTGTGTGATAAGGCTTGTAATGCTGCTTTAAAATAGCTTAGTTGTATTTAGTTGTAATGTAAGAACAGTTTGACTTGCATCCTTTTAGAAATAGTGCTTGATGCTGTTTGAATTTGTAGTGTTAAAACCTATTTTATGAGAAATTTTAAGTCAGCAAGAGCAGACAGACACAATAGTTTTGGACCAGTTGTTTGGTAAAACTGAAAAATGTATTCGTACATAGCAGTCTGATAATATATATAAATATGTATTATATCTTTCCTCACAAGTTTATGGACCTGATTGAACTGTGTGAGAAACAGCCAAGCCTGCAGGAGCTGCTGAGCTCCTTCAACGACCAGAATGTGTCAGACTATGTGGTCGTGTACCTGCGGCTGCTCACCTCAGGCTACCTGCAGCGAGAGCATGGCTTCTTCAAGCATTTCATAGAGGGAGGACGCTCTGTGAAGGAGTTCTGTCAGCAGGTGAGATTTTTTAATTTATTTTCACTTTGTTTATCTCTTGGAAAGTTGACCCAGCTGGACATATTGACTTATATTGACTAATTTATGACCATAATGTTCAATGTCTGTTTCAATAACTACTTATTTTACTGTGAAATCCAACCCACGTTTCCTTTTTTTGTCTTTTCGAAGGAGGTAGAGCCAATGTCTAAAGAAAGTGACCACATTCACATCATCGCCTTAGCCCAGGCCCTGAACGTAGCCATCCTGGTGGAGTACATGGATAGAGGAGAAGGTGGAACAGTCAATCATCACGTCTTCCCCGAAGGCGGCGACCCACGCATCTTCCTCCTCTACAGACCCGGCCATTATGACATCTTGTACAAATAACACTCCTGGCCTCAGCCCACCTCATCCTCCTCCTGCTGTATGCTACTGCAGCGGGTCGAAAACACAAATTATAAAAAAAAAAACTAAAAAAAACTTCAACAGCCACATTGATGAAGCATACATCTGTGTATGACATTACACTCATGTATTTGAAAAAAAATTTCAATAAAAATCACATTACATGCCTCCCTTACCCTGTTCGCCCCAAGCTCCCAAGTTTTCTCCCTCAGTCATCACAAAATGGTTAATGAAAAAAAAAAAAAGAATCCTTGGAAAAAAAATAGAAGTGACTCCAGGCATTTAGAGTTGTACAGGTTTTTTTTGTGGTTGTAAATGTTATCTACTTGCTTTATGTTGGATTCTTTTCCTTTGTTACACTGCGTTTCATTGAGTTTTATTAAAGGGATTTACATCTTATTTCGTTGTGTCGTTGAATGTGGGGTTGCAGAGTGATCAGTTCCTGGTTCATTCATTGAGACAAGTGCAATTCCTCCGAAACATCAGTCACATCTTCATATAATTGATTGTCTGCTGGTGACCTATACTGTACCCCTCCTCTTGCACAACCTCAGCTGTGATTGGCTCCCCCCGCAACCTTTAGAGGCATTGATAATGAAAGGATATCCAAAGATGTCCAGTTCACTGAAAGTGGAGAAGAACAGAATATATTCACCTCTGAGAGGCTGAAACCAGCGACTTGTAGGTACTTTTTCTTGTGTAATGACAAGCGAGTACCAAAACTGCACCGTCGATTCATTTTATCATTTTTCTGTGCGCTTCCAACTGCAAATAATAGTTGATTTTGAAATCATGCACGGTGAAGCTGCTGTATATTAAACACTTGGATGTCTTAAAGCTTTAAATGTTATTAACACTGCACAGCAATAATACGTTGTTTGATTTTGACTGTGACCATTGACTGAAGCAAGTTCAGCGGATCAGCTGTGTTGTTGTTTACATCTGCTCACACACATGCGCAGGCGCGTCACCGCCGCTCAGCTTGACCTAATCAAAGATCGTCGGCTTACAACAGCAGGAGACGCTGTCTTTAACAATTTAGTGGACTACAACAGTCGAATTTAGTCGCGGGGGCAGAGTGAGAACTCTTCCGCTGGACAAACTCAAAGACACAAGCCGGAGAAGGAGAAATGTTGAAATCTTTGACATTGTTGAGCAGAGGGAGAGCTGCTGCAGCCTGTGTGCGGCATCACTCTTCTCTCACAGGTACGTTTACACCTGGAGTCACTGCGCTACACGAGTTAGCTTCACATGTTAGTAATGGCTGTATCATAGCAGCTAACGAAGCTAGGCTAGCCGCTCGACCGAGTTAGCTGTGACACTTAGCAGCAGCTACACTAGCTGTTAGCTGTGACTTACACAGTCTATGGCTGTGACAGTTAGCAACAGCTAAACTGGGTTAGCTGTGACACTTAGCAGCTGCTACACTGGGTTTAGCTGTGACCTATACAGTCTATGGCTGTGACACTTGGCAACAGCTACACTGAGTTAGCTGTGACAGCAACAGCTACACTGGGTTAGCAGTCAGAGCTAGCTAGCACCTGCACTGGGTTAGCAGTCAGAGCTAGCTAGCACCTATAGTGGTTTAGCTGTGACACT